CCAACCAGGTCTCTAGCCGGGTTCACAGGAGTCTGTTGAACATTGTAGGGCTTAGCATCCAGCTTCATTGCTGTTTTTCCCTCACTTCCCCTTATGGGTGATGAACATGGTCACCAATCAGAGTGTGTATTCCCTTTGAGTCTTAGTCTTGGAAGTGGATTTGCTCTGAGGGGACCCGACCACCTGCCTTGATTTTGATGTCTCCTGGGTGAGCAACTTGCTTGTTCTTCTAGTAATCAGTCTGTCTGCCTATATTGTTTTGTATTTTTCTCGTCGGTCTTTCTTTCAAGAAATATCTTCTGTTCTTCTAGCTGCTCCAGGCTGGTCTGCTTGTCCTTTCAAGTGGAAATTTCCCATTCTGGATGCTGTTCAGGATTCCATCTGTGGTGTTACGTAATGCAGAGGGCTCCACAGGAAGCCTCCTTCACTGGGCACATTTTAGGTAGCCCCATTTTAGGTATTCCAATCAGTTATAGGTAAAAGATGGACTTAAGAACTTTCTATGGTGATATTTCTGGCTATTCCTTTCTCTCCCCAAGTGTCTATTTATAATGGTATGCCAGGGAAACCAAGATTCATAAGACAGCCAAGTATCTTAACATTATTTCCCCACTTTTCCCCAGTCCAACCATGTCTCAATCGCTATATCCCAGAGCCCTGTTGTTCCAAGGTTGTACATACATGATTATTTACCTCTGTCCCAATTAGCCCATACAAACCTGCCTATTTGTTCTCCCATCTGCTTTGTTCTTCCATTTCCCTCCCCCTTCTTATATTTTGCCCTCCTCCCTAGCTCCCAGACTATCCTGTGTCTATGTTCTGTCCTGTGCTCCACCTTCCCCTCCCTCCCCTCACTCCACTCCCCATATCCCAGTAGCCAGCAAAGAGTCCCCGCCTCCCTACCCCCACCCCTTTAGTGTAGGTTCTTTTTCTTACTCTTTTGTAGTAGTGGTCCTATGCAGTATTTCTCCTTTTGTGACTGACTAATTTCACTCAACATAATGTGTCCTCAAGGTTCATCCATGTTATGCGGTAGCTTGCAGCCTCCTTGTGTGTATGTATCACAGTTTGTTTATCCATTCTTCAGTTGATGGGCACTTAGGCTGTCTCCATCTTTTTGCTATTGTAAATAGTGCTGCTATGAACATTGGTGTGCATATATCTACTCGTGTTACGGCTCATATTTCTTGTGGGTAAATACCAAGTAGAGGAATTGCTGATCATAAGGTATTTCTATTTCCAACCCTCTGAGAAAGCGTCGTATTGCTTTCCAGAGAGGTTGGACCATTTTGTAGTCCCACCAGCAAAGCAGGAGTGTCCCAGTCTCTCCACATCACCACCAGCATTTATTGCCTTCAACTTTTTTGTCTTTGCTGTTTTTGCTGGTGTGAGTTGATATCTCATTGTTGTTTTGATTTGCATCTCTAATGGCTAGTGATCGTGAACATTTCTTCATATGTTTGTTGGCTGCCCATATCAGGGTTTTTGGGGATCACCTGTTGGGTTTGAGCCGATGACCTTGTGGTTAGCAGTCCAGTGCTTATTGTACCATGCCATACCAGAACCTATGGGGTAGATGGGATTGTTTTCATGTCAATCAAATCATTAGATTATAAAGATACATGTTCTGTGTCTGCTACTTGGAAACTCCATTTCTTGCCAACATTTTTCTTTGAAAATGTTCCTATGCACACAGAAGTGGTGTATCTTGAACAGATTGGGATTCCACAGATGGAGACTATAGCTACAGTGCCCACTATAGGCAATCCCTGCGTTACATCCATTCCTAAGTGTCTTGGAATCAAATTGGAAGGAAAGCTGGGACAGGTGCATATGGTTCTCTTACTTAACCTAACTTTAATGTAAAAAAGGAGCCCTTGGGAGGCTATGGATTAGATGCTGGGCAGGTTGGAGGTTCAAACTCACCAGACCCTCCATAGGAGAAAGATGAGGCTGTCTATTCTCAAAAATCCTCTATAGGGTCACTATGAGTCCGAATTCACTAGATGTTATTGGGTGTGTGGGAGTCCAAGAAAAGGGACCTCTAGTGGTACAGTGGTTTAAATACTCATTTCATTTCCTAAGGAACTTTCACACTGTTTTCCTTAGCTGCTATACCATTTTGCACTCCCACCAACAGTAAATAAGGGCTCTGTTTTCCCTACATCCTTCGCATTTATTATATTCTGGTAACTCATGTGGTTTTGACTTGCATCACTCCTGATGACTAATGATATTGTACCATCTTTTCATGAATTTAGAAGTCATTTGAATAGTCTCTGGTGAAATGTCTTTTGAAGTCCTTCGCTTATTTCATGAATGATTTGTCTTTTTTGTTGTTGAAGTTATATGTAAATATTTGTTAATAGATTTAGTTGGATATATGGTTTCCGAAGACATTTGCCTTGTCAGCTTGTGTTTTCGCTTTTTTGGTAGTCTTATGGTGAAAGGTTTTACATTTTATGAGGTCCCATTTATTTATTGTGTCGTTTGTAGTTTGTGCTTTTGCTGTTATATTAGGTAAGCCATTGTTCAAAGCTAGTACTGACAATGTTGCCCCGT